ACCCATTCTCCCTCTGCTGCTTTAAGAAGGTATTCATGCTACCTTTCTCCCACACTTTGGCCTAAATTGTTTGATTTTGTTCCCAGTCTAGAGACTAGGCCCGACAAGGGAGCAAGAGGAATGGAAGAGGTCAAGGAACATCTCCAGTGTCTTGCTGGCTAGAAGCTGCCCTTAAGGCAAGACTGGCCTTCTGGTAGAGCTCCCCTTGACACATTGGTTTTAGGAGTTGACTTTTCAGATTCTTTAACGTGACCTTATTCTTCTGGAAACAATCCAAGGGACCTGGTTAACATTTTTTAAAAGTGTTTTCCCAAGGAAAAAGGAGGAGGTAGACAGGAGATGAGGGGGTAAAGAATTACACAAAGATTTAGTCTAATGGCTTAAAAATCAAAAGGATCATTGGACGAATAGATATCAAGTGTAATAGGAAACACACCGATCCTGGAGAGATGACTTAATATGGGCCCTGCAACCTCCTTGGAGCTTAAACAATTATCTACAATTTGGAATTATACTTTAAATTCCCACATCACTGTGGTTTCTGGATCCATTTCTCAGGACTCGGCCAGCAACTTTGAGTTATCTAAACCAGGATGAAAATTAGAGGCCATTAAAAGCATGTCATGAAAGTGTTTCTCAGATTTTTCATAAGCAGAAAATGCTGAGTACCACAGGGGTCCAGTGATAGGGAGGAACAAAATGCTCCTAGTTATTTTTCCAAACCTTAATCTAGAAATCTTTTTGAAGAGTTCCTTACCCAGCAATGAGATGAATGCCAAGACTAACACAGAGTATGTTTTTCCCATTTACAAGTGGTGAATAGATACACCACCAGAGGAGAAGTTCCTGAGGGTTCCTAGAGGAGTCTCAGTCACTTTTCATAGCTAGCCAGTTTGCCAGCTTGCTATATCCTTATCCCCAAACTTCCCAGGAATCCTACATGAAAAGTGATAGTGATTTAGCCAGTGAAGCCCCAATTTAATATACCCTATTTTTCTTATACTGGCTGGTAAACTCTTGGGATTGTATTGCCAAGGACTCTCTCCTTTTATTTTCCACAAATGAAACAAAACAAAACCCTGAAGTCATATTCTGAGACTTTCTCTGTTCTTCCAAGGTCCAGAGCCTCCTGCTTGAGTACTAGGTCTTTTAGGCCTTGAGTGGCAGCCACTCCAGGATCCAATTCGTGGTCCCAGCAGATAGTGGTCAAAGCAGCATGGACCTGCCGGACAAGAGACCCAAAGGGAGTGAACAGAGAAGCCTCTGCTGCAGTTCAACTGGGAAGCATAAACCAACAGGCTGGCACTAATTAAGAGCTAATGGCCTTACAATGGAGATTGCCAAAGGATAACGACCCTCCAGCTGCAGCATAAATATCAAGACATTTGGGGCACAGCCAAGACATATATTTTCAGAGAGTATTAAACCTCTCTGCAGCCTTCCTCACCCTGGCTTTGCTGGAAAAATGAGAGGATGTTAAAATAGGTGAGAAAATAAAATAAAATAAAATAAAACAGGTGAGGAAGATGCTGGATCTTCCAGAGTGCCTTCTCATCTGTTGGTCTGAAAGCCTCAGGGCTCCTTTTGGAATAGTCTTTTGCTTTTTAGATTTAAAACTTTTGTGTATACAAGAATCACTGGGAGTTGCGGATGGAGCTCAATGGTAGAGAGCTTGCCTACCATGCACAAGGCCCTAGGCTTTATCCCCAGCATGGAAAAAAAAATCACCAAAATGTAGGTTTTCTTGGGACTATCTCCAAAGGGGTTGACTTTGGAAGCTCTGGGGTGAAGCTCAGTAGCTTGGATTTTTAACCAGTTCCCCAGGGTGATTATGATGCTGGTGGTGCTCAGACCATCCTCTGAAAGATGCTATTTTAGCAGCTGCTAAAGTTTGGCATTCAGCCCCAGTGACAACGCTTTTATAAACTAAAGATGAAAAGTAAGACCAAGATTCTTTATGAAAACACCAGAGCCAAACATGGCACAGGGCTTTGGCACAAAGGTAGCATTTTCATCCAGTATCTGTTGGGCTCTTCGCATTTACACAGACCTGTGGTTACTAGAAGCAAGCCTCCAGGAGATGGGGAACTAACCCTAGGTCTAGACAAAAAGAGAAAGCATCCCATCTGGTTGGTGTGTACCATGCTTTCAATGCCTTCCTGTACTGCAACTCATATCACTGTGCTACAGTCTTGCAGAGTTCTTAAATTATTCCGTATGTTCTAAAACACAGGAATTGTATGCCTGGAGGTGTGTTGCCTTCTTTGGTTGCCATAACATACACACACACGCACACACACTCACACAAAACCCCAAAGAAAAGTTGAGAGTGGTTGCACACACCTATAATCCCGGAACTCTAAGAGGCTGAGGCAGGAGGATAGCAAATTTAAGTTCAGCCTGGGCAATTTAGTGAGACTCTG